GCTGCCTGACTGACTGACTGGCTGGCTGACTGACTGACTGGATCATGTGATCATTAGCTCACAAACCCAGTACGCCACAGGGACACTGACAGTCCAGCAGCAGGTGTGTACATACAGGCAGAGGCTCAGGCGGCTGGTCCAGGCGCAGGGTGGACGACAGCAGGGAGGGGCTGATGGGAAAGCTGGGGCTGCTGGGATTGCGACTCTTGCGCCGAGAGCGTCTGGTGGAATCCCGCCGACTCTCTCTGCCCAGTCCCTCGGGCTCCTCCTCGATCACCAGGATCTTGTCATCGCTAAGGTAACGCAGCAGGGAGTTGTCTGAATCTGTGGAGACAGATGGGCAGGATAAAAAGAGCTGACAACAGAGAGAGGAATCCACAGGAGGAGGAGGAGGAGGAGGAAATCATGGAACGTCTTGAAGGAGTTCTACCACTGAAACAGATCACAGCAAAAAAAGAAAAAGAAAACCCAAATATGAAAGATTCACCTTGTGGCCCTGATGATGAAGTTGAAAAAAAAATAAGTGTACCGTGTAAAAAAAAAAAAGTGTGCCGTGATAATGTAGATGTTTTTTTTTTCTCTGAGGTCAGTTTAAATGTGTTTATTATTATTTTTTAATACCTACCTCAAGATGTCGCTAAATTTAGCTTTTGTACTACAGTAATTCCTGGATATTTCCTTGTAAGCATACATATATATATAAACAAATTACAGTAGTACAAATGTTTCCTTCTGTTTTTATTCTTCTATTTTTTTCTCACCTATTGCATCACATACATAGTTTAACACAAGCCTCGCTGCGTTTGCTGATTCTGCATAAAAGTGAACAGAAATACGGGGCGGGGGGAGGTGTACGATCCTGTGGGAGTGCTCTGCTGCTCCTGTTGTTGCAAAGTACAGAAAAAGAGTAGGAGGAAGACAAGGATTTTTTTTTATTTATTATTTTTACATTGGACTTTAAAAAGGGACATTTCAAAAATAAGGCTTTACGTGTATGTTGCTGGAGGGACAGAGTTTGTCTGGACTGGAAACGTCAAGGATTTTAAGTGATGTTTATTTTGGTGGTTCAGCGGACCATATTTGGCCCACGACCCCCTAGTTGATAACCACTGGGTATACAGGATATGAAGTGCTTTGAGCGACAGTAGAAAGTAGAAAGGCTGTGGTCCAGCACAGACTGCTGTGTCTTGGTTTTTGGTCATAGACTTGAACTCTGAGAAGGTTCTACACAAACGACCCGGTTCCGTCCCAGAACACAGGATACATGACTGAACCACATGTATCCTCACACAGCCACAGCACCACGGACAACCAGGGAATGAGCTGGAATGTGTTGAGCTGACGATGGAGTAAAGCACGACACCTCTTTATGCTGACAGTGTGTGTGAGTGTGTGAGTGTGTGTGTGTGTGAGTGTGTGTACCTCGACTCCCTCTCTTGCCCATGCTGGGGTCCTTGACCTCGGCCATCCAGTTATATTCAGGGGGCATGGAAACGGGTCTGTGGTCACCTAGAAGGACCAATCAGCAATCAGAGAGTGGGCTGTAAGTGGGCGTGTCTGGTGAAGGCAGTGACTGAGAGACAGCGGGGGAGACAGCTGGGGGTGAGACAGAGTGAGTGGAGGTGAGGGAATAAGTTTGAAATCCTCCTGAGGAACTGCATGCGTACGTTTGTTTGCTGTGGGTTTTGATCCTGATCCTGAGACCAGACAAAGAAGGAGGTTCAAGAATTTCAAAATAAAATCTGTTCCATTTACATTGATTTTACTAATGGTTGTACGTTATTATCTGATGTTTATTTTTGGAATCCAGCTTGGTGGGTTTGTCGGGCCTTTAAAAACCGAGCCGATGTTCACTGCTGTAGGAGCAAATTTTAAAAATCTTTTCAGGTAGAAGACGATGTTTGGGACAGCGTGTGAGACACGGGTGGATGGAGGGAGCTGGACACACACACGTGCTCTTGGACTGAACCTTTTGGCTTGTGATTAGTGATTCTGGGTGTGAACGTGTGCACGTGAGTAAGACACAGAAACACAAAAAGAAGCGGAGCCGTACGAGAGACGGACGTCTACGGAGGAGTGGTGTGAAAAAAAGATGAAAACACAATGACAGCAGTTCCTCAAAGGAAATTCAAACCGATGGAGTCGTGCGGCGGCGCCAGCATTCACACCACTTGACCGTGCACAGATCCATACCATGGGTGGGCGTCTTATCCCTCCGGCGCACCCCTGTGTTTCGGCCCCTGTCGTAGTCGGGACCTGGCGGTCCGTCACCCTCCAGCAGGGAGAAATACTGACCGCTGTCCTGGTCCAGGTAGTAACTGACCGCCTCGGAGCCTTTGGAGCCGGACTGGGAGCCGTAGCGGTTGATGTCGTCACATGACATCAGGCCCATCTCCTCCCTGTCGAGAGCAGAGCCGTCGTCAGGGGCCGTGATCATCACCATCACCATCACAGCTGAATCACAACAATAAACAGTCGAAAAACACGAGACACGAGACACGAGTCTCTGACCTGGTGCTGTAGAGTCCAGAGACCGGGGACAGAATGTACACGTCCTGCATGCTGGGGGCGTCCATTTTGGAAATGCCTAAAGTTCCACCAGGTGTGGGGGAGGTGTTGGTGGGACTGGTGGGCATCGGCTAGGACGAGAAGACCAAAAAAAAAAAGACATTTGTTATGGTTAATATTAACGAGCAGTGGGAATTATGACGTTTGAATTCAACGTGGGTCAGTGAAGAATCGGCGATACGATGTATATCACGATACAATATATTGATTTTTTTTCCCCTAGTGTAGCTGTAGTCCCAGTGTGATCCTAGTCTGAGACTCTGTTCCATCTGAACATCAGTTCCTAACACTGGAACAGAGGGATCTACATTTGGAATCACTAGAGAAGAAAGAAAAGAACAAGAACATGAACCAACACCAGGAATATTGGACTGGGAATTGGTGAGAAAAAAATCAATAATTGATGAAGGAGGAGATGGAAATATTGCGATATTTCAGTGTATTGATATTTTCTTACAACGATTCTTCTTTGGGCTGAAATACTCAGCCCTAATTCAGTGAGAAGAACGTGGTGAACGGTCCAACACCAGGAGGAGGAACCCGTCCTCTGTGCTCTCTCTCTCTCTCTCACTCACAGACCTCTGTTACAGAGATACAAAGGTCCTCCGTTCCGACCATCTCCATCTTTCCCTTCCTCTGCTGTGCAGAAGCGTTACAGTTCGGTCATTTTGTCTCCAGCCTCTTCAGTCACACCAGGCTCTCTCTCTCTCTCTCTCTCCGTGTCTGTTCTCATGACAACCCTTTCTCTCTCATCCTCCATCCTCCCCTCTTACCTCCCTACCTCCACCCTGCAGGAGAAAGAAGCCTCCGTGTGGGTCGCTCTCAGCTTTCTCTCATAACGTCACAAAAAAAAAAAAAAAAAAAATTAACTGCATTCATTGTCAGAGGGAACAGCTGGGACCGTATGTATAGTTAAACGTCACAACCCCCCCTCACTCCCCCCTCACTCCCCCTCTTGATACTGAGGATTCCCAGAAATGGATTGTTTTGCCGTACATCTGAAGAGGCCAATTAATTAATTTTCAAGAGAGGGGGGAGAGGGGGGAGAGGGGCGAGTGTGGACGGAATTCATAAACAGTCACGAAGCTCCAACGACGGAGAGGCAGCGTTCTCATTAAGGAAGTCCAGTGTTTCATCATTTTATCAACAGTGTGTTAGTGGAACTCAGATCCCAAAGTTCCCTGCCTGCATCCTCAGGCCTCCATTCTATCATCACTCCCCCCGTTTGCCCCCCCACTCCGACCAGACCTCCTTTAATGATGGTCTTTCAGAGCAGGGAGCCTTCATTATACATCATACAAAGGATGTAAAAAAAACAAACCAAGTGTGAGAGAAACCGTAAGGAAGCAGGACGCAGTCAGGGAAGTGCACGTGGAGTCGGGGCAGCAGTGGAGTGTGTGGTGACTGGAGCTGTGAGTGAAAACAGTAATTTAGTCATTTACAGCCCACTGCTGTCTGTCAAGAAAAATGGTGAGGGGGGGGGGGCTTCTACAGCTGGACAAAATCCAGGCTGTTTAAAAAAACAACAACAACAACAACAAAAATCAACCAAGAAATCGGTGTTAGCTGGAAGATTAATACGTTTAAATTAAAACAATAAAACATAAAAAATGTATATAAAATATATATATTTTTAACTGCCCCTCTGATCTGCTTGGTCAACCATCTTCATATTTCTCTACACCACACTGTCCGTCATAGCAGATCTCACTACTGTCCTATGAAACTTTGTCTTAAAGTTTTGCTGCCATGTATCAAACATCAACCCAAAAAAAGATAAAAAATATTATAAATAAGACGAGACGATGATGACGTTCTAACCTGACCAGACACTGATTTTCAAATCGTCACCACTCAGAGTGTTTGTCAAAATATCTTCAGAACTACTGTCATCAGTCAGGGCTTCATTTTTTGGACTGAACAATTCCAAAAATGGGGGGAAAAAAAATTAACGCCGTAAATACACGATAATTTGCAGAGATAATTTGTTTCCTTTGGGAAATACTTCTTCAAATCCTCCTGATCAGTCGCCACGTTGGGCTCAATTTCACAGCAGTGCAGATATTTCTCCAAATTGCGTTTGGACATGAGTGGATGTGGCGTGCGTCGCTGTTTGTTTTGGAAATGTGTGCAACGACTGTTTGTATAATAAACCAACGAAACGAAACTTAGTTTCATTTTCAAGCTAACGAGCCGAACTGTAGGACTGACTTACAACAGGCCTGATCACACCAGCAGGGGATCCTCTTAGTTTTGAGATTAGTGCCACCTACTGGCGGGCAACAAAAAGCGAGGCTAAGAACGTGCCAGAATCTTTGTGTTTGTTTGACTTAATGTCACATTTTTGTGTCAGAATGTTTTGGTTTCGGTCAAGCTAAAATAGCACCATCTACAGTCCAAAGAAAGGCAGCTACATGTTAGTTGTTAAAATAAATATTTTTTTCCTTCAATCTCTGAGATGAGGTTCTGTTTCAGGATGATTTGTCCAGATCTGTCCGGAATGTTTACAAGAAAAACATTCCAAATAAGTAACAAAATAACACACGGCAACTGTTCAGCAGTACGTTCTGATTCAGTAAATGATCCTCAGCATTTGCTGAGTAGCAGTACTTTATTTCAGAGCGGCAGCGCTGCCCATAGCTGCTTATGAATAATTAAGAGCTTTAGTCTTCTGGAGAAAGAACAAATCTAAAGCTGCCTTTCGTCTGTTCACCCACAGATATTTAAGCGCTCTAATCACGGGCGGCTCATGGTGAGTTTGTGTGTTAGCAGCCAATACGGAGCCACCACAACAAAACAGGCTCAGTGTAACGGGTCGTCAAGACAGATATTTGGACACAGGAAGAGAGATTATACTCAGTATATACAGTATGATCAAAACAACAATACAGTTGATGTCGTGTTAAACTCTAGGTCCAGGATTTTTCTGATTTGGACACAGGAAGAGAGATTATACTATATAATTTTTTTGTTTAACATTATTGTTTTGGACAGACTCTCAAATAAATGAAAAAAATATATATATTTTTTTGTCCAACATTATTGTTTGATGTTTATTTTGAAATCCAGTCTCAGGCCGGATTGGACCGTTTGACGGGCCAGGTTTCGGTCCGCCAGCCGCCAGTTGATAAACACTACTCTACTACTTCTGGGTGTTTATAGTACATAGTGCAGTCGCTTATATATATAAGTGATTAGTGATTCCTATAATTTTAAAATAATATGTGATAAATTGACGAGTTTCAGAATCTGCAGTTCATCATTAAATGTTAAATATGTTTTCTTTTCGTATATTTTAAAATGGATATTTATTATATATTATATATATTGTGTTTGAGTGTATTAAACACTGTTGAGGCTCAGCTAGACTGTGATTGGATGAATCCTTCAGTTCCTATTAAAGATGTTTTTTTCTAGATTTTTTCTAGTCCTAATTTCGTGTAGTGAGACATAAGTAAACGCTACGATCTCTGACAATCGCAAGCTAAAATAGAACGCAGTGTGGGAGCAGGTGGTAAAAAGAGAGAGAAAGGTGAAGAGAAAGGAGGTCAGAACGAGATCGCAGCCGAGGAGCAGCTGAGAGCAAAGATCAAAGAGATGCATAAAACATGTAAATGAATCGACTGATGCAAAGATAAAAATAGCAGCCGTCGAGGTCCGACACGACCAGGACCAGAATCTGATTGGCCTTTGCTTCACCCCTCCATCTGTCCCTGCCAAATGTGTTCGTGCGGATCAGAACCGTTGAATGATTTCGATTGGTTCCTCCAGTCATGACTGTGATGACGTCGGTGATGAGCTGAGGTTTTACCTGCAGACCCAGTGGTTTCCAGCGAACGTTCCTGAGCAGAGCCGGGGTGGAGCTCAGGGTGTTCTGGGGCCGTTTCTTCAGCGTCAGGATGACTCCACACGGGTCCTCCCTCAGAGCGTTCACCAGGTTCTTCAGCTGCCAGCCCACCTGAACCACACACACACGGAGCCAACACTGCCAGCCCACCTGAACCACACACACACACACACGCAGCCAACAGAAATGTGTTGATATTTTTATAGAATTTTATATTAGAAAATAATCAACACAGATGAGGGTTTCCATGAAGGGTGGTGACACTTTTGAAAAGTGATTCTTTAAATATCAAAACCAATGTCAGAGATCAGGCTCAGAAACTTTCTCATAATAATAAAAAAAATTGAATAAGCTCCAAACTACCAACAATGTGAAAATTAAATATTTAAAAATGGAATACTGAATACGGTAGAGTTGTAAAATATGGAGGAGAGTGGGGGCGGGGGGCCAATCCTGGACCACTGGATGAAGGGAGCAACACTCTGGACCAGTCATCAGTAAATGGAACATCCCATAATATTGAATAATTAAGGAAGTACATACTAAATATCTAGTCTGTTTCCCTGAATTGACCAGAACTTCCAGCGTTTTTTGTGACCGATCACAAAACTTACAGCAGACAAAAAGATCCAAACACGGAACACCGACCCAGGAGGAAACAGGCAGAGGAAAATATTTTTTCTTTTTTTTTTTTTTTTTTAAACCCTGCTGCTGTGGTTTATTTATTTATTTATTTATTTGGATTCCTGGGGTCTTGATTACTTCTCCAGATTACATTATCATCACGTAATTACGCTGACACTTCAAACAATCAGTTTACTCCTGGAGGAAAAAAAATCCACACTTTGTTCCTCGTCAGAGACGTGGAGCTAAAAAAAAAAAAAAAAAAAAATGCAGGTCCCGTTTAGGATGTAGACTCCATACAACGACTTTAAATAAAACTTAAAAAAAGAAATTAAAATCTAAATCCACACACTACATCACTCCTTTTTATATTTTGAATCCATTTAAATCCATCACTGTCTTCACGTCTTCCTGGTTCATTCTCAAGGCTCACACTGACATCTATCACACACACACCTCACACACACACCTCACACACACACCTATCTCCCTGTGCTCTTCTCCACTCTGACAGTGAGGGATCAGAGTGGGTAAAGGTCGAGGTCAGGGAGTAAAACAGGAACAGGCTTGATCACGACCAGCAGGGTGCACTGTGCATGTCGCCAGGGGTAGGGGAGAGAGTGAGAGAGAGAGATTGACAGAGAGAGAGAGAGAGAGAGAGAGAGAGAGAGAGATAAGCTAACGATCAGAAATCAAACTTCATCTTCTTCTTTTGTAAACATGTCTAGGATCAGATCAGAAGAATCCTGTGGTGATACTTGGAGATAAAAATACTTTCGGAGACGGTTTTTGGAATTAAGAGATTAGAACTCTTCAGAAGCTCAAAAAAAAAAGAACAATGTATTTGTGTCCATTCTTCCTGAGACTGGTGATGCACTCAGAGTCTGTTCTACTTTTCCCTCATGTAAAAGGATAACAATACGAAACAGGACAGGGAGCACGGTGTCGCCCCTGCTGGTGGCAGACGTGTCCTGCACCTGTGTGTATTTAACTCACGACTGTCTGGTGGTTGACTTGGATCACCTCGTCCCCCGCGTGGATCTTCTTACACTGGTCTGCTGGAGACTGCACCGGCGGAAAGAGAGAGAGAGAGGGCGTTAGAGGGAGTAATTGTTACTGTGGAAGATGGTGGCGCTGTAGCTGCTGTGTGTGTGAAGAGAAGCTCACGTTTTCCGTGGTTCCAGTGATGACGTGGAGACCATCGTATGTCGACTTGATGTACATGCCCTGAGAGAGGACAGAGACTCTGGTTTCAAACAGATCATACTGTATACACACTGGATGTCAAACCCAAGGCCTGCGGGCCAAATACAGCCCGCTTATCACTTGGTGTGGCCCACCAGATTATGTCTAAAAATTGGTTAATTTTGAGGAGGGATGTCTGATAATGTCGGCTGATCGATATGATCCACCGACATAATAATAATAATAATTTGAACTTTATTGATCCCTGGCGCCAAGCATGTGGTTCTTCTGGGAATCAAACCCAGGACTCTATGCTCTCTTCCTCCGAGGCAAGCGTGCTAACCGCTACCGACAAAAACAAACTTCATTAACATCCAAGGGCGGGATTCAAACCCAGGCCTCCAGCTGAAGCATCAGCATCAGCATCATTAGCATAATTATGTAACATTGTTAAAAAACGTTATCAGTTTTTCCCTAAAAACAAACAGCAGAAATGAGGTGTTTGGACAATATCAGCATGTCAGATGTTGGAGATCCTTAATTTTGAGGCTTTAAAAAACTTGATCAAATAAAAAGATAAATAAAGGTTTCACAGCTCATTAAAAAAAACCTCGAACATTTGAAACAACCAACGACCAGATTTAAAGTAAATCCTTCATGACTTTTGCCGGTGTTCACTGCATCCTTACCAGGCCTTCGTTGGGCATGATGCTGGTGAGGTGGACCACCTCCAGGTGGGCGGACTGTGAGACCAGAGAGTCGGATGACAGAGAGATGATGTGGTCACAGATCCCTGCTAAGGTCTTACACTGAGAGGAAAGTGAGCGGAGAAAAAAAAAACAAAACAGAAAGTTATTGGTTGTGAGCCTCAGGGTGGCAGTAGAGGGTGAGAATGTAATCATTTCATCAGAATGTTCCAAATCACTCGCTTCATCACTGCCTCCACACAAACACACAACATTTCCCATCAGCCTGTCCGTGGGCATGCCCATAAGACACCGCGTCTCAGACACAGCGACGCGGCCGCGATGCTAAACGAGCCCCAGGCACCGAACGGCATTTCCTAACGGCTGAGTTACAAAAATCACATCTTATTTGGTGCTGACATTTGTAAAAAAAAAGACTTTTCTGCCATAACATGAACAAATCAATATCAGTCCTCTTTAAGAGGAAATTTATTTTTTAACAAATCAATATCAGTCCTCTTTAAGAGGGAATTTATTTTCCACGGTGTCTTTTTTACCTTTATCAGGTAGAAATACTGCATCTGCAACACGAACCTCTACAATCGGTTTTACCAAGATGAGTCAAACAGGATAAAACATCGTCTCTATGGTATCACGACATAATCGCAATATATTGTATTGTCGTCCCTGTATCGCAATTAAAAATCGTATTACCAGATAGATAGATAGATTTACTTTATTGATCCCAGGGTCAAGGAAAATTACAGATTTTTACCAACACACACTCCTAGTGTCAAATCAACCACGTGTCTCTGATCGTCAGACAGTCATGGAAACTTCGTACAAACGAGTGACTTTATCGTCAACAACATCAGCGTCGTCCAATCGCGGCCGTCTGACACACACGAACACACACTCGTTAGCTTTCACAAACAGAACCGAGTGACGGAGTCGTCACAAACACACACTCTTTTCTGGATTCGTACAAGCGTGACAGAGATGAACTCCACATGTAATCGTCTTTTAATCTCAATCCTAATGAGCAATTACCAGACGACGGTGAAGAAACCGGAGGAGATTTCTCACTCACACTCTCTCTCTCTCGTTTATTTTTCTCAGTTACTGTACACACACACAAAAACAGGTTTTGTGACATTTGATGAAAATAATAACGGATAATCTAACCTCTAATCCCTCAATCTTAATCCAATCTGACCCTAGTTCTATTCTAAACTCCACACTGGAGTTTGTAGGGACTGTTTGTGTGTTTGTGTGTGTGTGGTTCTCCAGCTGGGAGCTTCAGTAACTGATCAAGCTGTGGCCCAGCTTGTGGGTCAGTGGACTAATAGTCTGCACCTGGATTCAAACCAAGGCTGGGAGACAAAAGGACAGTCATCAGCATGGACGCTGAGCTCCTGTGGATCAGTCCAGTCCCTGGAGAGAACCAGGGTCCAGATTATAGAACCGGGGCCCAGAATATAGGACCCCGGGTCTATAATCTGGACCCTGGTCCACTAATCTGGACCCTGGTCCACTAATCTGGACCCTGGTCCAATAATCTGGACCCTGGTTCTATAATCCGGACCCTGGTTCTATAATCTGGAGCCTGGTTCTCCTGCAGCTCTGCCCACAGTCAGCTGTGATTAGTCCAGTCCAAACCAGGGCCCAGATTATAGAACCAGGGCCCATATTATAGAACCAGGGCCCAGATTATAGAACCAGGGTCCGGATTATAGAACCAGGGTCCAGATTATTGGACCAGGGTCCAGGTTATAGAACCAGGGTCCAGATTATTGGACCAGGGTCCAGGTTATAGAACCAGGGTCCAGATTATTGGACCAGGGTCCAGGTTATAGAACCAGGGTCCAGATTATTGGGACGTTAACTCACGTGACTGGCATCAAATTTAAAAGCACTGAAACACTGGGCCAGACGTGGTTCACTGCCAACTGGATTAAGTCTCCCTCACCCCCTCCCTCACCCGTCCCCTCCCCCCTCCCTCACCCTCTCCCTGTGAGCTTTATTCTTAATGAACTCACACATCCTCTCACATGCGTGCACTTTTAAATGCTAATACGCACGGAGCATAAACATGTGAAGGCAAATATAAGACAGGAACAGGACAGAGATTAAAGAAAGTGAGGAGGGAGGAGAGAGAGAGAGAGAGAGAGAGACCTAGAAAAGAAGGGAGGGGGGAGGTAGAGTCTGGGAGGACAGAAGGAGGAAAATAAGGGAATCGGAAAAAACACAACTAGGACAGTCTTACGTAATTCCTATCATCCCTGTGCATGTTCACACACACAAACACACACACTTGGACACACTTCACGCTTCATCAGACACACACATGCTCATATCTTATCAGGAGGGGTTCTTTTCTCTCTCTCTCTCTCTCTCTCACACACACACACTCCGGTCCCTGTTCTGTTTGCTGTAGGCTGTCGTCTGGAGCAGAGCAGGAGTGTGTTCTGTGTTTCTGAGCCGAGGCTCGTCGTCACACAGATATTACTACAGTAGCTGGGCCAGAGAGAACGGGGGG